CATGGCCAGGTACATGGGGCGGATGGCGAAGAGCGGGAACGTGTGCACCTTGATCATGATGGTCATGAAGGCCACGTAGAGCAGCACCTTGAGGAAACCTGCGCGCGGAGCGGCGCCGCGTCAGCGGGAACGGCGCCGGGAGCGCCGGGAAGGGCGCCGGGAACGCCGGGAACGCGCAGGGACGCGGCACCCGTGAGGAGCTCCGTGTAGAGCATGTAGACGGCCTTGGTGTCCCAGGGGTTGTCGCGGCGCAGGTCGAGCGCGTGCAGGACGTACTTGACGGCCACGGTGAGCGCCATGGTGAGCAGCACGGCGTACTGCGGGAGAGTCCGTCGGGAAYGCCGCCGGGAATGCCGCGGGAATGCCGCCGGAACGGCGCTTACCTCGAAGCCGAAGACGAGCTGCACGGAGGCGCCGCGCGTGAGGATGCTGTGGTAGGCGTGCGCGACGAAGAGGAGGTCGAGGATTCCCAGCAGGAACACCAGCGCTGCGGGTGGGGAGAGGCGGGAATGGCGGCGGGAGAGGTGGGAATGGCAGGGGACGGGAAGGGAGTGGGGAAAACGGTGGGAGAGGCGGGAATGGTGGTGGGGAAAAGGGCAGGAAAAGCAGTGGGGAAAGGGTGCAAGAGGTGGGAGTGGTGGGAGAGATGGGAATGGCGTGGGAAAAAGGGCGGGAGAGATGGGAATGGTGGTGGGAAAAGCGTGGGAGAGGCAGGAATGGCGGGAGAAACAGGAATGGCGGCGGGAAAAAGGCAGGAGAGATGGTAATGGAGCAGGGAAAAGGGGAGAGGCAGGAATGGCGGGAGAGATGGGAATGGCATAGGAAAAAGGGCGGGAGAGATAGGAATGGCGCGGGAAAAAGGGCGGGAAAGGCGGGAATGACAGGAGAAATGGGAACAGAACGTGAAAAAAGGCAGGAGAGTTGGGAATGGCGCAGAAAAAAGGGCGGGAAAGGTGGGAATGGCGCGGAAAAAAGGGCGGGAAAGGTGGGAATGGTGTGGAAAAAAGGTCGGGAAAAGTGGGAATGGTGTGGAAAAAAGGTCGGGAAAAGTGGGAATGGCGTGGAAAAAAGGTCGGGAAAAGTGGGAATGGCGTGGAAAAAAGGTCGGGAAAGGTGGGAATGGCACGAAAAAAAGGGAGAAGGGAACAGGAACAGCATAGGGAAACGGACGGGAGAAACGGGGATGGCATGGGGCACTCCGGAGCGGCGTTCCGGAGCACGGCGGCATTCCGGAGCAGCGTTCYGGAGCTACTCACAGACGATGCGCAAGTGGAAGAGCCAGGAGATGTTGGGGCTCCTCTCCATCTGCAGGGAGACAGGGAGCGCGGTCGGCATTCCCGGCCCCGTTCCCGGCGGCTCGCCGGGAACGCCGGKATACGCACGAAGTCCACGCGGTCCTCGGCCAGCCAGTGGAAGCACTTGAGGAAGAGGAGGAGGGTGAAGAGGGCCACGAAGCGGGGGCTGAAGTCGTCGCGGAAGACGGTGAAGGCCAAGCAGGTCTCGGTGACYGCGTACCAGGAGCGCTCCAGGAGGTGCTGCGGGGAGCCGGGGCGCGAATCCCAACGGGCCCCAAAACCCCCGAAACGGCCCCAGAAACAGGATCCAAATACACCCCAAAATCGTGCCGAAATAGCCCCAAAAACGGGCTCCAAATACCCAAAATCGTCCTGAAATAGCCCCAAAAACGGGCTCCAAAAACCCCCCAAAATCGTCCCGAAGTAGCCCCAAAAACGGGCTCCAAATACCCCCCAAAATCGTCCCGAAATAGCCCCAAAATCGGGCTCCAAATACCCCCCAAAATGGCCCCGAAACAGCCCCAAAAACGGGCTCCAAATACCCCCCAAAATAGTCCCAAAACAGCCCCAAAAGACCCCAAAAGAGCCCCCTAAGGGGCCCCAAAATGGGCTCCAAATACCCCCAAAACAGCCCCAAAACAGGCTCCAAATACTCCCCAAAAGGGCCCAAAAGAGTCCCAAAACGCGCTCTAAAACAGCCCCCAAAAGACTCCCATAAAGGCCTCCAAATGGCCCCAAAAGAGCTCCCAAAAGGGCCCCCAAAACCCCCCAAACAGCCCCGAAATGGTCCCAAAACAGCCCCAAAAACAGGCTCCAAAACGAACTCCAAACACTTCCAAAATAGTCCCAAAACGGCCTCAAAAGGGCCCCAAAACACCCCATAAAAGGGCCCCAAAACACCCCATAAAAGGGCCCCAAAACAGGCCCCAAAAGGGCCCCAAAAGGGCCCCAAAACAGGCCCCAAAAGGGCCCCAAAACAGGCCCCAAAAGGGCCCCAAAACAGGCCCCAAAAGGGCCCCAAAAGGGCCCAAACAGCCCTGGGCAGCCTCTTGGCGGCCCC